TACTAAATAGCTTAGATATAAGTTCTTATAATAGCTATAATCCTTTTAAACTTAGTAATATATTAGTAATCTATTACTAAAAACTAGCTAATAAGCCTAAGCTTCTTTCTAAAAGTAGGGAGTATATTATTAATTTTAGAGTTCTCTACTATATAGTTAGGGTATTATAATAGCCTATCTACTAGGTTAGTAACCCCTAATTAATATTAGATTTTAAAGTTAAATATAGATAGATAGTAAACCTATTAAATAAGCTTTTTATAAATATCCTATATAAATATAGTAAGTACTCTTTTTAATACTATATAGTTAGTAAGTATTAGAAATTTCTTAGGAAGCTCTTATAGGTACTATACTTAGTAATCTAAGCTTTCTATAATTATAAGAAGTTCTTATTACTTTATAGCTTAATATCTTTTTATATCTAAAAGTTTCTTTAATTAGAAAGCTACTAAGTATTAGATAGTACTATACTTCTATAAAAATATATTAGATACTACCTAGGTAGATATATTAGTCTTAACTCTAGTCTTTAGTATTAGGTTATAATATCTTAATATTAAGGCTTTAGTAAATACTCTCTAAAATATCTTAAATATAGCTTATATTTCTCCTATTTAGATAAAAACTTCTAACTTTATACTATTTTAGCTTCTCTTAAGTATACTATTTATAGAAACTATAATATAGGAATATCTTATAATAAATGTATAGTAGAAATTATAAAAGCTAAGAAAAACTTAGATATCTTAGAAGGATTTTAGTACTAGCTATTTAGTAATTACTTAAACTCTATTTAGGTCTATCTTAATACTATTTTAAGTAATATAAAACCTAAGGAAATTAACTTCTATTTAGTAGAAGTTATACTTCTTTAATTTTATAAAAAGCTTAGTAGCCTTTAAGTAATATAGAACTAAGTATAGGTCTTTTATATATTAGTCCTTAGTATCTAAGTAAATTAAGATATTATTTAAGTATATAATATAATAGGTATTTAAAAGATTAATAAGTATTTAGTAAATATATATTTAGAATATTATTAGAGCGTTAATAAGCCTAAATAGTATTATTATATACTTAAAATACTTATATTAAGTCTTAAATATAGTCTTCTATCTATCTACTTTATTAATTATAATTCTATAATAAGCTTTACTTAAATTAATCTTTAAGATAAACTTTATATTAGTAAACCTATTTAGAAGCTTACTAATTAGTAGTAGAGGGTATTAATTCTTTACTATAATTTTATTTAATCCTCTATAATTTATATATAGCTATAGACTACTATCTTTCTTAGGTATAAATAGAACTAGTACTCCTATAGAACTAATTAAATAGTAAATATATCTAGCTACCTCTATTTCCTAAATATACTTAGTAAGGGTTTATAATTACTCTACTAATATAAAGTATATTAGCTTATATAGGGGTTTTTTACTAAGTTTAAGCTTAATATAATATATTACTCCTTTTAGTTTAAGGACTTTTTTTATATTCTCCTTATTAAAAATATCTATAAAGATTTAAAGTTCTTTAGAGATCTTCTTTTTATACTTATTCTCTAGTAAGTATTTACTTAAAGTATTAATATCTTTTTTATCTAAAGCTAAAGCTCCTATTAGGTATATTATATAGGCCTTCTAGCTATTCTTAATAATTTCTTATATTATTACTTTTAGTTTAGTAAGTAAAATATAATTATATAACTAAGTATAAATATAAATATCTATATAGATACCTTCTCTACTTATTAAGTTATTAGATAAAAAGATATCTCCTATCTTTTTAAGGTATAAGCTAGCTATAAATACTTAGTAAATCTTTTATAAGTAGCTTTAGCTATTAATTAAAAAGAATATAAGTTAGTAAACCTTATTAGTAAGTATAAGTCTCCCTTAGAAGTCTACTAGCTCTAAAGCTATAATACTAATAGCTTTTTTTAATAAAAGTTTCTTAATAAAGTCTTCTTATATAAAGTTAACTATAACGTAAGTATTTATATTAACTACTAACTTAAGTTTATTATATACTTAAAGTATAATTACCTAACTTTTAATAGTTTAGTTTATAAGGACTAAAGTAATTTCTAGTATAATACCCCTTAAGGTTACCTTTATACCTACTTATTTCCTAAGTCTTTAGTATTAGTTATATAAGAAACTATAATAGTATTAATCCTACTTCTTTTTAGGTTTAAGTTTTAGTTACTACTTATAAACTATATATAAGGTTTAGTATAATTAGAGGAAATATACCTATATTTCTTATAATTATAGTATTAGGTTCCTTAGAGGTTAGGTAGTTTACTATTAGAGCTAAGCGTTATATAGGGGTTTACTAAATAGTTATTCTAAAATAAGGTCTCTAGATAGTACTCCTTTAGATTTACTAATTAAGAGGGTTATAAACTACTCTTATAAAAGTAATTTAAGGAGCTTAAGTATAGTTACTTATATAACTTAGAGTAGCTAGTAAACTTTCCTATATACCTCCTTTCTATAATCTCCTATAGTCTTTATATATATAGGGTAATTATATATATATTAATATAATTAATATCTTACTTAAAGAGTTTATCTTTTAAGGTCTTAATAAAGTTCTAAAAGAATATATAAACCTTTATATTACTTATATTTAGCTTACTAAAAGCTTAGTTAATAGACTTCTAATAAGCTTAATATATAATAAGTTTCTTATTATCTTTCTAATAATATTATCTTAAGGTATTATAGTAGTTCTATTCTTAAAGTTTAAGTACTATATACTACCTTTTTATAAAGATCTTAAAGTTATCCTATATAAAGTTAACTTACTTCCCTAATATATCTATAAATATTTATTAATAAGTTTACTATTCTATTTATAAAGTATACTTTATTATACTTAAGGTTTATTAGATATACTAGTTATTAGAGTAGTTAGGGTAGTACTTATAAGCTTCCTCTACTATAATAAGTTAATCTTCCCTTTCTATACTAATAGATTTACTAATAAAGTAAGCTATATTATAATTTAGGGGTTTCTTATAAACCTTAAGTAATTATTTAATAAATACTTAGTTACTTAATATAGTAATAATTAGTTTATTCTAGTTAGCTATTATAGTTATAATCTATTATATTAATATTTAACTAGTTACTTTATCTAGCCCTCTAACTTAAGCTAGCTTATTAGCTATAGCTATAAATATCTAGCCTTATAGTTTATCTAATCTATAGGGAGGGGTCTTATATTCCCTATTCTCCTATATATACTTACTACCTAGTTAGTAAGTATTTAGTATAAGTAGCCTATCCTCTTTAAAACTTCTAGCTTTACTTAAAGTATAACTTCTTACCTCCCCTTATTAATTTATATTATCCTCTAATTATTCACTAAAGTTATCTTCCCTATATAAGCTTATATAGGCTATTTTACTTAGTACTTAGTAAATACTAAGTATAACTTCTTTAGTTTAATTAGTAGGTATTACTTAGATATATAGTACTATTATTATTACTAACCTTCCTAAAGTAGAGTAGAAGTAAAAGAATTATAAAGGTATTTAGAGGCTATAAGCTATAATTAAATTAAACTAATAGAAAAAGTACTTAAAAGGTAAGTATAGTATTATTATATTACTTTTACTTTCTTCTTCTAAATTCCTTCTTTTTTAGTCTTTAGTAAGTACTTATTAAGTCCTTATTATAGAGGGTTTTATACCTTAAACCTATAGACCTTCCTATCTATTTAGCCTCTACTAGCTAAGCTATCCCTAAGCCCTCTAGCTAGGTGTTTAGTCCCTTATATATCTCCTATATACTAAGGGGGCTCTTATTATTATTAAAGTATTTAAAATTATAATCTATTTTATAGATTACTCTAATATATAAGAGTATACTTAGAAGATATAAGATCTAAATATTTAATATTAAAATTAGTAAATTTAGGTAACTAAAGCTATATATTAGTAATTCTATATTTACTTAAGTATAAGGGGTTAATAAGATATTTATTATTTATAGTTACTTTAATACTTTTAGTTAACGTTAACTTAGTAGTAGTATATATACTATATCTACGCCTCTAAAGTAGAGCCCTTAAGGGGTTAAAAAACACGAGAATATAGCAGATCAGGGCCTTAGATCGACGTCCAAGGCTATGGGGGGAGGCGGGACGACGATGATCTCGGAGGGCTGAGCCGGGCAATGCCAATGCCTTGAATGCTTCGTTGCTTTTCAAGCATCAATGAGCACACTTTGTCATCATCATCATCGTCGTCATCCACGAAATCAAGAAAATCTTGGCTGTGGCTTGTGAATCCTAAAATGCCACACTCATACGTCGCCGCTTCCCACGCCTCCCAAACTTACATCCCGCCTGCTGACACGGTGGCCTCGGTTGCATCACCTCTGGGCCGGGATCACCATGGCACAGCGGCACAGCGCCTTGCGTGGAGCGTCTGCCTACCTAGGCATTACGTCGTCTTCAGAAACACAATGTGACATATGCACCTCTACCATCATTACCGTTCCGAAACATTGATGTTGATAATGTTTGTTGTTGATGCAGAACTAGCATAGCAGGCTAACGATTGAAACGCACAATAACCAGATTCTCCAAGTTCCCGGGCCCGAATGAGTATTCTAGCCTAGAAACCGTACATACTGCCTCGTGTTTGACTGACTTGGCTGCGTGGCCGACTGGGCAGCGAGCTCTGCGCCATGCCGCGTACTCATAATCCCAGTAACCAACACGCAGAGCTCTTCCAAAGCAGCAAACCTGCCCCATTACGCACTTTCACCCCCCAAGGATATCAGGTTCGAAAAGGGCCAGGATATGGACTCGGCCCCTTCGAGCAATTTGAACCGGAGCATCGTAGACGTGGCACCATGATTTCGTTCCCGTACGGACGTTTACTCTTTTTGTTTGCCAATTCTTGCCAATCGCCCGTGTACTCCATTCCGCCGTAAACACCGCCTGACCAGCTCTTCCCAGAGCAGTCGGTCCCATGCTTAGACGTACTGAGACAGCCACCGGATACCGTCGCCGTAACCTGCTGATGTTAGCCTTGCATGCTCCTCGCGCGTATCGGTAGCACTGGAGAAACCCACCTTGTCTAAGGACAACCGAGCACATGAAAACCTCGATGGGCCTGATACCCTCCAGAGGCACCTTGCCCTTGCCAGTCGTCTGGTACATGCCGAGCTGGTGACGGAGCTCCTCCTCAGAAATGGCGTCGGGGTGGTCAATCTTGTTGCCGAGGATCACAAAGGGGACCTTAGCCAGCTCCTCCATGGAGAGAAGAGCGTCAAGCTCGGCCTTGGCCTCGGGGAATCGCTCGTGGTCCTTGGCGTCGACGAGGAAGACGATGCCGTTGACTTCGGGGAAGTAGTCCTTCCAGAGGCGGCGGGCCTGCTGGTGACCGCCGAGATCGAAGGTTGTGAAGCGCACGTTGCCGATGGCGAGCTCCTCGGAAGCTGCAGACGCAAGGTGGTCAGTTTTGCTCCAGCTGGACTCGAGGACACGTGCGCACGGCTTCCCGCGGCATCGTCAACGTTGTTGGGACAGGGAGGTACTCACTGGGGTGGAGAGTGGGCTGAAGGATAGCAACTCGGTCGTTCTGGTGAGTGTGTTAGCCACTGTCCCTCGTGTCGGCACCGAAAGCTCTTGATATCCCATATCGGCGCATCCGGACCATGGCAGACGGGAGGTCTCTGGCAGCTTGCGGTCCGATTTGGGCTTTCGGGTATCGTACCTTCAACATGTGCAACAGAGTCGTCTTGCCGGCATTGTCGAGACCGAGGAAAAGGAGCTTGGCGTGCTTGTTGAGCAGACCAAGGCTCGAGAGGACGTTGTAGACTGCGATGGAACACAAGTCAGTTGATTGCTCTTCGACCAGGGATGGATGCTTGGCCCAGGAGCGGCGGCGATGAAGACGGCAGCATCGAGCGCGAGAGGAAGAAACAGCAAGCTGAGTACGTACACCAATCAATAATCCACATCTTGACGACGAAAGATCAAGTCTATTGTGCGTATGTGAGGTTGGTTCGGGGATGCGGTGGAGCAGATAGGTAGATTGAGGTCGGGATAGATTCGTTGTTCGGACTTTTGCTCCCAAGAGACAAGGCAATGCGGCGGACGGTGCTGTGCGGGTTGCTGAGTGCTGGCTGGATGGTGGGCTGGACTGGGCTATCAGCGGTTGGGGTGGAGTGCTGCTGCTGTGCTGTGTGCTGTCGGGTTCCAACTTGCTTGTGGTCGGTGCTGATGCTGAGGTGCTGAGGTGTGCTTATGCCTTATATTTGGGGCAAAACTTATCGGAGATGCTCCACCCTGGCAGGCAAAAGGTGTTGGTGCGTCAGAGCGAAACTCACTCTGGCCTTTTTGTGAGGATCACGGCAAGCAAAGGATGATGTTGTGCAGGCAGTGAATTTTTAAAGGTCTAAATCGTCGCCGTCTCTCCATATATGCAGAGTTTGAAGGAACACGTTGCGATTTTCCAGTTACTCAACACGTTGAGGCATCCGAACTTACTTCGAACTCAATGTCACGTAGATGGCAGAATCCGCCATTGCGGTAGGCCATAAATATCCTGTCAGGAGCTTTGTGGTCATCATGTATGGCAATGAGTCACTGTAAATGCGATGTGGACAAGTTGTTGGAGATCTGCGATATATCGCAGGAATGCAGTTGATCAGGCTCCCTAATGCTATGTGTTCGCTCAAACAACCATACAGCCTTCAAACACGCCATTCCAGGGGTATTCGTGCTCCGTCCCAACGATAGAAGACAAGAAAAATGAAGCGAAAGAAATGTACGAGGCCCCGTGCGTCGGGTTGGCCTCTGTGTAAAAGATATGTACAGTCCATCGGACAGTAAATAATATCATATATGTCATGAATTCCTCTCCCATGCCATGCACCATCCCATGCTAAACGCCGAGCAAGACACCCCTAGTCTCGCTGTAAATGCAAATCAACAAACCCCACCCGATGCAGAAAATTGTCTGTAATTTAGACGGAGAGAACGTAGTTGCCCTGGTCGATCTTGCCGGCCATGAGCAGACCAAGCTCTCTCATACGCTCACAGCCGAGACCGCGCTGTGGCTTGCGCTCAGGGATCTGACCCTTGCGAGCGCGGTTGCAGTACTTTTGGTAAAACTTCTCCTTGCGACGTTGTCGCTTTCTCTCCAGGCCCTTGACGATGTCAATGGCGCCACGAACGTGGATGTCGTTGGCCGGAGCCTTTGTGCGGCGTCCCTTGGCCATGTGGGGAAACATGGAGGGGGGGCGGGGGAGAGACTTGGTAACAGTAAGGCCGGGGCGAGAGGCCAGAGTCTTGAAGGTAATAGCGCCGTGTACATTGCGAGGGGATGCGGGAGGAGACCGCAGTGCCTGGGTAGGAGGGGGGGAGCGAAGACGGCGGGGAGAAGGGCCGTCAAAGAGGCAGCGTCCACGGGCCTTGGGGGCCGGAGAGGCGCGGCGCTTGATAGGTGCGGGAGAAGCACGGCGCTTGATGGGCGCAGGAGAGGCACGACGCTTCATAGGGGGAGGAGAGCGGAAGCGCTTGGGAGAGGTGTGCTCCGACTTCCTGCGACCTCTTCTCCTGTCCTGTCCATGGTGGAGGTCTTCCATCTTGCCGTGGAGGAAGTCCTCGTCGTCACTGCTGTGGTGAACAGGGTTGTAAATCTCCGCTTCGCCCTCGTCTTCGGGGTCCGAAGCAGGGAAACTGGGGTCAATGTCCTGAGGGATAAGCTGGAGCTTCTCGCGTCTGCGAGCAGCGAGGCAGGAGATGTAGGCATCCTCCATGGGGCGGTCCTCATCGAGGGTACCGCAGACAAAGTCGGTGCTGTCGGGGAGCTCAGGGGTGCCGGGGCGGATCTTCATACGCTGGGTCTTGCCGCGGCGAGCGCGGAGGCTGGTACGCGAGGCGATTGAAGAATCGGAAAGCTGCTCAGGGAGGGAGGGACGGCGAGCCACAGGAGTGGTGTCGATCTTCTGAGCGGTAGAGCGGCCGGGCGTCCAGAGGCTGAGATCATCGTCTTCGTCGTCCTCCTCGTCAGAATCAGCAAATCCCGTCTCCTCGTCGGTCTTGTAGCCATCCGAGTTGTCGTCGTCCTCATCCTCATCCTCATCGTCCTCGTCATCCTCATCGTCTTCGTCGTCCTGCTCCTCCTCATCGTCCTGATCATCGGCATCGTTCTCCTCATCGTCGTCGATGGCGGTCTCAAGATCATCCTCGTTCTCCTCCTCCTCGGCCTCCTCCTCGGCCTCAATCGCCAGCTTGCGGATGGCGTTCTCCTTCTGCAGGGTGTCGTCGACAGTGATGCGGCGGCCTTGAGAGGTGAAGGCGTGGCGAATCCAGTCATCCTCGCGGGGAACGTCGCTCGCAAACTCGTGGAAGTGAGAAGACTCGTTCTGCAAGTCGTTGTCGTTGGCGGTGATGTACTTCTTGGTGGTAGGCGACTTGACGTCGACAGCGATGCGAGGAGGTGCGAGAGTAGGTCGCGGGGAACGCGAGCGAGCCTTGCGAACAGTGGCGGGCGAGCTCTCCTTGAGGGAAGGGGGCTGGAGCATAGCAGCGGCCATCTCCAAGCGTTGAGGAGGAGTGTTCTGCGTGGAAGCAGGGCGCTGAGGAACGGGGCAGGCGAACTTGATGCAGCTTCTGCGCTGAGGCTCCTGGGCAGAAGGGGCCTTGACCATGGGCTGGGCCTGGATAGGCTCAGCAGGCTTGGGCTTTGCGCAGGCGAACTGGATGCAACGCTTCTTGGGAGCTTCCTGGGCGGGCTCCTGAGGACGAGCAGCGGCAGCTTGCATTGCCAGCTTCTGAGGCTCGTCGTTGAGACGAAGGAAGCGCATCTCGGGGATGGGAGGGCTGGGAGTGTTGGCGCGAGAAGGGCTGGTAAGGCCAGTGTCGCTCGTCAAGTCGGCGGTGGAAGCCAGGCTGATGTTGCTGGCCATTGAACGACGGCGGGCGAAGAAGGACATGCCCGGGCGGGCTTCGGGGTCCTCGTCCTCGGAAGGGCTGTGGAGCGCCTTCGTCAGAAGAGAGGTGTTATGGTCCAAGGTAGTGCGTCGGATAGGATTCCTCTTGAACATGCTGCTCATGGGAGAGACGGGCACCTGGGTGGGATTTTCCGGAGGCTCGTCAACATCGGCGGTCTCGTCTTCTACCATGGCGGGCATGTTTGCGCAATGTGTGGACCAGGCCAGGACGTTTGACGTCGCGGCGTCGTGTGTTGTGTTGTGCGTCATTGTGGATAGGTGAGGTCGGTCAAGAGGTGATTGAAGGGTTATATCGGGCTCTCGGCTCGAGATGTGGCGAAGGGTGGTATTCCAGGCCAAGTCGTTCAACGATGCGTCTAGCAGGCGTAACCGGTCGAAGGTCGACTTCGTGAGAATATGGTAGTAGTCGGTCGTAGTAGTAAAAGGGCTCGCACAAGCGGCTCTTGTAGTGGTTTGTATATGATGGATGTTTTGTTGTTATGTATGTCGAAGAGCGGGTTGCCCTCAAGAGGACGTGCAGAGCGGGAGATGGTCTCGGAAGACAACTGCAGCTGACCAAAAAGTGTCCCTAGGGACCGTGAGGCTATAAGGACAGAACGAACATCGTCAAAGGGATCTTGTTCTGAAGTAGTAGTGGCAGTTGAGGGAGATTATAGGACGACCGGGCGTTGCATCAATGTGAGGCGTAGTTGGTGGGATGGGAACAGGTAGATTCAGGGTCCTGGGTGTACAAGAATAACTGAATCGGAGTGTAGATCCCAAATGAAAGGGCGGGCTTGGGCGTGGCACAAGGATGACTGTGTCGTGGGCGAGCAGATGACGTCGGGCCTAGCGTGGCGCAGGAAAGGTAGTGTAGAGTGATGTGTGTTGGTGTTGGGTTGGGCGTGTGTGCGAGGGAAATATCTGGAAAGGATAAACGGCAACGGGCGGTAGGCAGTAGAGTGCTGTGCGCTGGGATAGATGCTCGGGCGGGTTGGAAGAAGTTTAACAGGTTCCGGGTTATTCTTGGCGTGTTCGGGGATGGACGTGGGATGAATTCAGGATGCTCGGAGGCTGAGGGCTTGGGCTCTTTTCTGGCCGAGCAGGAGTGTGGTGTCTGGGACAGCCAGTTAAGGGTAGGGGGCAGATGGGTATGTAGAAGTATTTGCCGGGGAAACCCAACGCCAACGGGGCCAGGACCTAGGACCTAGGACCTGACAGAGAGAGGTGGGAGTGGCGACGGGTACGGATAGAGGCCGCGCCTAGCGGAGGTCACTCGTCCAGCTTTTTTTTGTTGCGAGGGCAAGGCAAATTCCCTTTACCGCCTCGTTGGTGCTGCCCGTTGCTTCGGGAAGTGTGGTCGGGTGGTGTGGTGCGTGGTGTCTGTGTCGATTGATGGTGGGTGGGTGGGCGTATGAGTGTGTGTGTGTGTGCCAGCTGGTAGATTCCAGTCTGTTTCTCTCCTTCTCGCTTGGTCTGTATTCCAATAAGAAGGGAAAAGCAGAGAGAGAGACCGGCGGAGGGGAAGAAGAGTGGGCGACGGGCGAGTGATTGCAGATTGATTGAATGATGGGTGGGCGGGTATGTGGGCGTTATGCTGTAAGAGGGCGTGGGATGCGGATAAGGTCGCTGCAACAGTGCAACACGCAAGTCGTCTTTCGTTTCCTGAGGAGCTGTTCCGCGTCGTCCTCGTTGTCGTTGGTCAGGCGGGCAGACGGACGGGGGGTGAAGGGAAACACCAGCAGAATAAGGTGCGATTGGTGTGTCTGGCGTAAGGTGGTTTTTTTGGGGGTCCTCCCTTTGTGCGTCCTTGTCGCGTTTCTGCAGGAAATTTGGCAGGCCAGGCAGGACAAGGGAAGGGAGCCAGATGCGTGGACGCGGGTTGCCGAGGAAAAAGAAAAGGCTCAGACTTTGGATCAACCTCAGACCTTCGGAATCTGGATCTCTTGGATCTTGGGCCTGGGGCAGTAGACCTCAAAAGGCAAAAGGGAGAGAGAAAGTTGCTTGGCTTGGCAGTGCAA